CTACATCAGGTCAGCAAGAAGTTGGGCTCATTTTTACCAACCGCACGAAGGAAGAGGTGAATGAGTGGTTCACAAAGTATACAGAAATGGATTTTGCTCGGGCCAGGAACAAAGCAACTTTTACTGTGAGCCTGGATCCAGGGCCCCTGAGGCAGTTCCCTCACTCCACAGAGCCACAGCTGGAGCAGCTGGGTCTGCCCATTGCCCTGAAGAATGGTTTGGTGACATGGCTGTCAGACTATGAAATATGCAAGGAGGGTGACATGCTGACCTCAGAGCAGACCCGTGTCCTGAAGCTGTTTGCGTATGAGATGGCTGAATTCAAAGTGACCACCAAATTCATGTGAGATGCCCAGTTGGGAAGAGTCCAGCAGATGGACGATGACCTACCCGAGAGCAGGCCTAAGTCTGAGGGAGAGTCTGAGGAGGAGGATGACAGCTGACTCTAAGAGCCAGAACTAAGGCCTTCCAGCAAGTTCTCCATTTCCACTGGACTCCAGGACTGCTGTCACCTCTCTGGAAGGAGCAGCTATTTATTTTGATATGGATAAAGACAAGGGAGGGTGATAGGGGAATAACTTTGTTTCTATAAAGAATAAAATTTTGTCTGTGGGGTGTTCCCTGTAGACACTAGGAGACTCTTTTTAATTTAAAAAGAAAAAAGAAAGAAAGAAAAAAAGAAAAGGAAAGAAAAAAATAAAAGAAAACAAACTAGACCATGGGTAGAAGACAACTTCTTTCCACCATATGGTTTCCATGTTTCCATGGATGAGTCTTGTTGGCAAACACCTTTTCATACTGGCCTCAATTTCTGTTTTCATTAAGTGTGTGTGTGCATGTGCGTGTGCGTGTGCGTGTGTGTTCAGATGGGCCATTTGGGTGCCATTTCAGAGGTCAGAGTAGGAGATCGAATATCTTCCTTTACTGCTGTCTCTGCTATTGCTTTGAGACAGTAGCTCTCATTGAACCAGAAGCTCACTAGTTTGGCTAGGCTGGCCGGCCACGAACTCTCAGTATCCATCTGTCTCTGCCTCTCAATACTGGGGTTATAGGCACACACAGCCATGCATGCCTTTTTATGTGGATGGTGGGGATTCAAACTCAGATCCTCATGCTTGCACAGCAAGTGCTCTTAACCACTGAACCATCTCTCCAGACCTTGTTTTTTCTATGTATAAAGACACAAAGACTAGCAATAATACATACGACAATAATTTGTAGAGACCCTAGTTCAAGTTTATAGTACATAACAGATGACAAATAGTGGTGACTCTAGGGAAATATTGTCACTTAGGTAAATAAAGTAGGCAGGATTTTGGTAGCATAATATCATTGCCATTACTACTGTGCTCAGTATTCCCTGGCCCCACGGCTTCATCTGGGGACTTCTTGGGCCTTTGTTCCAAGAGCAGACCGTTAGGGAGCAAGTGTAAGAGAAAATTCCCCTTTCATGTACACAGTCGACCCAACAGCTCAGAACCAAGGAGTAGCAAGGTTGTGCCTACTTGCTGAAATTTTCTCACATGTACAGTTTCAACACACACCCTTGATACTCAGACTAATACTTACAAAATTATATATACACACACGCCTTTTCACTCTTAATGAATACCATTCTTTCCTAGTGTTTGATGGTGTGAATGGGTGAGTAAGCATATAAAAGCTTCCTGCTGTTCTTGGGTCTTTCCACGTGGCCTGTTTGCTTCTTTGTTCTGTGACTATCAGAAGCGAAGATCTTGACTTTTAACTTACATAAGAAAGACAGTAAACAGGAACGGATTGGGGAGGAGCTCCTGGCTGAAGCCACTGACATCTATGATGTGTATTCCAGGTGTTCAGCTGGCTCCTAATGCTGAAAACTTAAGCTAAGGACATCCAGGCTTGTTTCCTCCAGGCTCCTCAAAGGTCAAATGTCTTTCCCTAGAGAGGTCACGTTGTGGTACTTTTGATTCCAAAACAATGTGGGCCGCTCAGTCAGCAAATGATTTTAAGAGTGTTTCTGGTCATGCTGGGAGGCGAACACCTGGCTGTCTCCCATCTGTCAGCATCTTCATCACCCCTGGGAAACCAATAACTTAGAAAAGTTTTTAAGACATTCTCTTAGGCTTAGTTCTGCACCGGAAGCTAAAGAAAATGATAACCGAATGGCTGACTTGGGTGTCATAAGGCTCAAAGCTATGCCATTTTAACAAAAGCAATAAAATGCTGTATAAAAACAGATATCAAAGTCCTGGCCAGGTCTGGGTGGTGGAGCACACTTCCCAGCACTTGGGAGGCAGGAGCAGCCAGATCTCTGTGAGTTTGAGGCCAGGCTGGTCTACACAGTGAGACTTCTTAAAATCACTAAGGAGAACCCAAACCACAAAACCCTCCTTACTGAGTGCATTCCTCCTGCAGTGTGTGTGTGTGTGTGGGGGGGGGGGGGGTCCATAAAGCCTGAGATTAATTAGCATTAAGAAAAATGCAACTGGTCACTAACAGAAGCAAGGTTTTAAGACACAGGGATCTGTGTGGTAATGTCGATGGGTGAGAGCTAAATACTTGCCAGCAAGAGAACCACAGCCATATGGTAAATGTAAGTCCCTGGCTAGACACGGAGTAGCAGGTCTTCCAAGTAGGGCAGAGCAAGACAGCAAGAATGACAGGAGAGACAGGGTCGCTGGTGACGCGTTAAAAATCTAGGAAGTTGGACTCTGGTTAGTTGGACTATTTAGAGAACTGGGAATCCTTAAGTTTACTTTTCAAATGAATCAAAACAACACCCCTCCCCCCAACACACACCAACTGGCCTTCAAAAACCTTTCTAAATAGTTTTGGCCTTTTTTGTCTCCCAAATTTGCCATAGGTTAAAAATTAAAGAGAAAAGAAAATGATATAATTTATCTGTTGAAATGACAGAAACAAAGGAATCAACTGCTTATTGGGTGGGGAGACGGACACTGTAGTGTTTATTACTGTAGAGAGCCCCCTGCTGGCTGAGTGAAGTCACTCCTTAACTGATGGCCTCCGCCCTGGCACTGGGGGGTCACCTCACCCGCATGGTGGGTTCCTCTTTTGTTGCCATGAAGCTGGCCCACATCCAGTGTTCACTAGAATCTTACTGAATAGATAAATACATGAACAATTCCAGTTTGAACAAATGAGGCCAGTTTTGAAATGAGTTTTCAATTCTAACCATTCTGTAATTCAGTCTCGCCAGCCTTCTTGGTATGGAGAACTCTTCCCTCTCTATAGCCTGTGTATGCTGTGGGACTAGCGGTATGACCTGCAACCAACTGTTATTGAGCACCAAGTGCGTACTGTTTTGCCTGATGTTGATGTATGTATGTTGTAAGCACTGTACATCGGATAAAGGGAGTACAGAGTGCTTCAATGACCCATCCATGGCCTTGAGAGTAAGTGCCTGAGTCAGTTTCCAAATCTGTGTGTGTGTGTGTGTGTGTGTGTGCATGTGCATTTGTATATGGTGTCTGTATACACATGTATGGGTGTGTATGGAGTGTGTGCATGTGTGTATCTATGTGTTTGTATATGGGGTGTGTACATGTGTACACATTTGTGTATAGTGTATGTACATGTGTGCATGTAGTGTGTCTGTGGAGTGTATGTGTGTGCATGTGCATTTGTATATGGTGTCTGTATACACATGTGTGCGTAAGTGTGTATGGAGTATATGTGTGTATGCACACAGAGCATACTGACTCTGGGGACTCTTCATTGGCTTTCCTTTGCAACAAATGTGAGACCCACAGAACAGGGACAGGCCAGAGGGCATTTTCACCACTGCATTGCGTGTCTGCATGTTTGTAGCATGCCATTTGATGGACATTAAACTGCCCCTTTGAGAGATGACAATGACTGGACTGAATGACTTCTGAGAGGGGAGGACACATGGCCTAGTTTGCTGGGGCAGCCTCAATGGCTACCTGCTGTGCTATGGAAGCTTATCATCACTTTCCACTCTGAAGCATCCCACCACAGAGGTGAGTTTTATGGCTGCCCTAACTAGAAGGTTCTTTTCGGCTCTTAATTTCTGTGAGTTCAGATTGAATCTAATTGACTGGTAACATGAGAGTGATAGAAGTGTCTACAGGACCTGGATCTCTCAGAGACAAACCTCAGGGCATGACTATCACGTTTCTACACTGTTTATATTAAGGTAGGAAGATCTACCCTACCTGGGGGTAGCCCCATTCCAAGGTCTGGGCTTCCCAGACTGAATAGGAAGGAGAAAGCAAGCTGAGAACTAATACCAGTTCTCTCTGCTTCCAGACTGCAGATGCAACGTGACCAGCTTGCAGCATTCCAGTGTCACGATGGACTGCAGGCATCCTCGAACCGTGAGCCTAGAGTCTGCAGTGCTGATGGGGTTGTTTCCCTGCTTGCTTCCTATAAAAGCACACCAGTAAATCTGATAAATTTGGGATCCTTGCATACGTGCTTGCCTCCTGCTGCATACAGCAAGCAGTAACCATTTGTTTCCTTGCTCTAGTGAGTCAGCAGAGTGCGTCATCTTGTCTAACACATGTTGATGCAGTTAGACGATTCCTCACTGTGTACACAAAGCACAGGGTTAGAGAAATGACTTCGAACAAAGAGATGAGGCCAGGTCTTCTTATGTGCTCAACTGCTGTGCTGTGCTGAGGCATGCACATGCAAGGCACATGTGTACGACAGATGATTTAGGAAGCTCTCAGGATTCCTGAGCTTCCAGAAGCTTTCCCAGATCTGTATCTCCCTCCTCCATTGTTTCCAGTATCCATTTTACTGACTAAGATGCAGTCTCAGAAAACAAAACAAAAACAAACAAACAAACAAACAAACAAAGAAACAAAACCAAACATGGAGAGATTCTGAGGTGTGATGAATAATGAATATTTACGTACTTAAGATGGTTTTTGTTGTTGATGTTTTTCCGGTTTGTCTTTCTACCACAGTAGAAAACTGGAGGCAGACACTTTTTTGTTTATATTTACACAGACAAGAAAGCCACAAGTTGACACCGTATCATTCTGCTTTTTATTTATTATCTGGATAACTTACAAACATGCAGGTGTCTATGGTAGATTCTACCCTACCATTTAACTACCCTGATGACACAGATGTCTGTGTCTGTTTACACAGTGCAGTGGTATGAAAAAAATTCTTCTACAGCTCCTGCCTATAATACAGGGAAAGTTAATTTCATACCAAAACTTTGAGAAGACTTCAATAACCACCCTGTTTCTGGTACTAAAATAACAAAATTGATATTACAAGTTAAAATATAAAGGCCTAACAGTTTTTACAAATATGCGACAAATCCACTAGACATAAAAAGTCAATTCTTTTCCGATCAAAAGTAAGGCACCATTGGGTTAAACATTTTCTCAGCTTTCTGTAAATAAAATGCATAGTGAAATAGACACAGAACACTGAATTTTAATACTGCAATATATTTCCATATAAAATGATTTGCAAATGTTAAAATACTGCATTGCATCTTAAATACACATAACTTGAAATATTATGGAAAAAACATACATGTAAGCTTTGATTTCAGGGAAGAAAATAGTCGTGTGTATGTGTGTGTGTGTGTGTGTGTGTGTGTGTGTGTGATCTGCCATAGGTTAAGGTAAACACAGAACTCCAGAGTTTTAAATGCAATTGGGTCACTGACTTCCAAAGATAGGATATACATGTATTAATGAAACATTCTTTGCAAAATACATTCTAAACCTTTATTATGAATGGCAACTTTGAGCTGTGACCCCATTCCTGACTTAGAAAGTACCTGAAAAACAGATTCACCAGGACTTCTCCAATTTTCACTATCCCTTAAAAAAACTGAGACCCACAATTTTTGAGTCCGACCTTTCTCTGTCATACACAGCACAAGGAAGGACCGATTCTATTTTCAGTAAAGTGGGTCACTGAGCATCTATCAAAAGGATGTTTATCCTAGGGAATATCAGATCAAAGAATTCATAATACATTTTAAAATGTTAAAAATGAAAATAACTGTCAAGCTTGTTAAACCTTTTATTTCTTTGTTCTCACGGAAGACAGACAAACGGCAGAGGAGAAGGGAGGAAAATTACTCTCTAAAGAACTAGGTCCAGGGCTTTGGCAAGGAAAGTTATAAAAATACAATATATTCAAATCAATCACCTTATAATTTATTAGACATTTCATCTATTAGAACTCCTAAGTTATGCTTTTATATAAACGAAACAATCATTCTATAAATAGGAATGTCTTTCCATTTTTCTTTGGATTGATTTTTTTTTTTTTGTTAGCATCTCCCAGCAACATGTGAGCAATACACTGGACCCAAAATACAAAGTTCAGGTAGATACACATATGTGGCCGTGTGCTTTAATAGACAATGGTAACATTAAACATGACTATATAAAACATCAAAGTGGAAATCTTTTTTCAACTCTACAACTAGATTTCAAAGTCCCAGTAAAATGTTGTAAACAAAATTATATATATATATAAAAGGCAAGCCTGGCCCTTTTTGTGGTCGGTCCTTTAGTGGAACTTACTTGCACAGATCCAAGACAATGATTCTCCCGAGAAATTCAAAGCCAATGCTTTCCAGGTTCCACTGGTAAGCTCCTTAATCTACTTGACCCCAGTTGGTTGTGTAGAGTTCGGCCCAACATCAAAGCTGTTCCTTTCTCCCATAATTCTCATTTGATACATTCTTTGACTTTCTTCTCCTATCTTGCCCTCCTAGCCTTTCCTGACCTGAGGAAGGAGTTTTCTCTGGGGTGGAGGACTGAAAAGCCACAGAAGGTCTGCAAGGCCAGTGACCAGAGAGTGCACAAGCCAGCTGGTTCTGAGCCAGGAAGTGCCCAGAAATTTCCGTTTTCTTACAGTGGCTTTATTCCATGTGACTGTAAACTGTACTAGATACATTTCTGACTAAGATACTTTGAAAAAACACCTGCACATACATATTAAGGAAAAAGGCAAAATAAGGGTCAAAAATCTAAGCTCTTACTGCCTGCCAAACATTGTATCAAGTTCTGACTTTGTCTTGGGACATCTCTTGAATTGCTAAAACTCAATTTGCCTTTTTAGGCACAAGCTTTCTGTACTAGCTCCTGTCTCCCAGACTGTCTGACAGTGTGGTGCTCAGGCGCATGTGGACACTTGAAATCTGGCCACGTGTTTGTTCTAAGTACAGGATGGTTACTGGAGTGTGAAGACTTAGTACCCAAAAAACTGTGAATATCTCATTAACAATACAAGTTGACGTGGTATTTCAGATGCACAGAGCTAAGTACAATGGAATTCTTTTCATCTGTTTCCTTTTACCTTTATAAAACATGGCTGCTGGTCATTTTAAGGCCGGGAATGGGGCTCGCGTTATGTGTCTGTTAGACAGCTCTGCCCTGGAGCCTACCTCAGACTGCCAAAGATTGGACATCCTGCAACCACAGGGCTCCATGTAAGGCTTGCTCAGCAACTTGCTTGGGCGGTCTGCGGTTCGTGGAAACAGACCAGAGGCCATGTGAGCAAGAAAGGCATAGAGAAAACCAGCTCTCAGGGAATTTAACAGCTTCAGCTTGTAGCAAAAGAGCAGTGAAAGTCTGACCTTGTGGGGCTGAAAGCTGGGATACAATTCTTCTCTGTCTGCTTATAACAAAAGCTTATCGATCCCAGCAGCCGACCCTGGCAGGCTGCAGCTGATACAAGCAATAGCTCAGGAATATATACAACATAAACAGCTAGGCGCTTCTTTCCCCACCCCCACACGCAGGGATGCCCTCCTCAGCTTCCGGTCCTCCCTCCTACTCTCTCTGAGCGGGGCAAAGCAAGAGGAGGGCCGTGTAGTTTTCAAACAGCAACAACAGAAGCAGCTTTGGAGCTTGGGTAGAGTGGAGCAGGCAGAGATCACCTCGGGATGGGAGGAAGGGGTGGGGCTCCCCTTTCTCTTCTGTTGGATCCACCTTGATGAAGAAAGCAGATACAATATAATTCTGGTTAGAAGCTCGTGTTTACTGTGGAACGTCAGAGACGGCTGCAGAGATGCTCACTGTTTTACCCAGAGCTTGAGGCAGGGAGCAGGGAAGCCCCGAGTGATGTGAGAAGATGATGGGTGCTGGCTACTGAGTAAGTGATAGGTACTGGCTACTGAGTACCTCCTCACAGTTCTGTAAGTCAGTCATCGGTCATGTAGTCTGTCTGTCATCTGATACACAAGTGGACAGCGAGAGATGAGAGGTGGCCCTGTACAAAGCTGCAATGAGGGGCCCATTCAAGGTGTACCCCACACTGCTCAAGGCTGTCTGAGAGGCTGAGGCAGTGAGAAGAGCAGAATAAAATGTGTTCTCTGATAAAGCTTCATTTTCATCAAATGATTTTCTATTAAAAACAATTTTAGATTTGTTTTAAGTGCATAGAAATATTGAAAGCAAATCTGTAAGATTGGGGGTAGGCAGTGAAGAATTACCAACTTAAAAACCATTTTAAGTGCCTATTCTCTTTCAGGGGCTGTGTCACTCAAGGAAGCTGTGACAGTGAGCAGACCATTGTCCTGGTCCTCAAGTCACTCACTGGAGTCATAATGAAAGGGGGAGAGGGAGGGCATGTGTTTCGCTTTAACATTAAAAATCTAGAGGGCAAAGGAAGGTGGTTCTGTTATTGATTTAAAAACCTAAGTGATACTTAAATTCTATTAAGAATGTTTATGATAAATGAGGGAAAGTATTTAAAGTTTAACCAAACAGCTTCTTCAAGTGAATTTGTTCTAGTTCCTGTAACAGACAGACATGTCCTGTGATGAACACGCATATACACACTCATTCACAAAACAGTCAGAGGCATCTGCTTCACGTGAAGGCTTATTTTCATCCAGAACTTCAACCACTAACACGATAGTTTCCTTACGGTTATAACTTTGGGCAGGCATGCACTGCCTACAAACACAGTATTCTAAATAAATGAAATTTCTAGAATTGGAGTTTTCCTTCCAAGCAAGAATATTTTGTTTACTTCTGGCATTTGTTCTTGGAAAATTCCTTACAATGTTTCCTAAACTCTTTAAAGTCTGTAGCAGAAGCACAAAATAAAAATTCGACTTGCTTCATTGAACCCCAAAGTGTACATGATAGGTACTGCTGCTACGGTCCTCTACTGCGACCCAAGGTACAGCTCTGTATGTCCCTGGCTCTGCCTTTTCTTTTCCTTTTTTTTTTTTTTTTTTGTAAGTTCTTCCTGAAAGGCTTCTAAGCAGTCTTAACTTCAGCTGGTATTAAGCTGCTCAAAGGCTGGGCACTCACTGACCAACAGTTACTCAAGAGCTGTGTGCTGAGAGGGACTCAGTAGGCCCTGAGCTCTGAGGTACTGTGCTAGAGAGCAGGGGCCTAGCGATGGGTGCTGTGACTACTGTCTGACTTGAGGGATTAACTCCAAGGCTTAGGTCTCTGAGAGCCTGAGTCTAGTCAGAGGCTGATGGGCATGGATGCCACTTTTCCATAGTCCATGTTAATTTTTCTTAGTTCTGTGCATATTTTTCTGTGAAATTCTAAGTGTTTCTATTCTACCATTTAGTTCACATTTCCTCTTCAGCAGGGAGAAGATGATGAAGGCAGCATGCATGTTAGCAAGCAACGGGAGACAATCCAAATGTGCAATGCTGGCAAGTTCTTGTTCTGGAGACTTAATGGACTCCCGTGGAATAAAACCATGTGATAAAACAGGGGTGTGTTTACTAAGCAATGTTATGTAAAAACCTACCATCAAATATGGTCTCCTCTTGTTACAACTGTGTAAAAAGTCAGAATTAGATGGAAAACAGTAGGAAGAGGATCTGGTGGAATGAACATGTCTGTTCTGTGAGGATATATATATACACACACATATATATACACACACATATATACACACACATATACACACACACATACACACACACACATATATATATATACACACATATACACATATATATGGAACTATTTTGAATATACATGTGTGTATATAAGTTGAGTACATATACATATATAAATCTATGGTTATAGTACATTTAAAAGATCAAGGCAGTATTTTGTTTTAATTTTACAATGTTTTGCAAGTCTCCAACTAGTAGGAATAGAAGATGGACTGACTTTTGCTCTCCTAGGAAAGTCAAAATGGAGGAGATGACCCAAAGAAGCAAAATAATATAACTTAATACTGGTCCGCCAGACGTATTCTAAGATGGCAATGTTACCTTCAGAGAGTTATTGCTCATTCTGGGTGTACTTGAGAGGCTACCAGAGTGCACAGAGCTCCAAATGGAGCTTCCTATTCCACTCCAGACAAGAGGCCTGGTGTCATTTGCGTCATCTGGACCCAGGCTCCCACAGTATGAGCCTGCACATGCTCCAGCAGAGATACTTACTTCGGCTTTCATTTCTGGCCAGTTTGCTGGGATATGTCTTGGTTGTTGGTACATATGGCTCTGGAGGCGGCAAGTCAGAAATCGGATGGAAGTAGAATCTGCTTTCCCACTCATCTGTGGGAGAAATGAACAGAACCTCAGCACAAGAAATCTGCTGGGAGGACGTGGGGAAGACAGACAGACAGACAGACATGCACAGAAACCAGTTCCAGTTTTGTGGCTGGAAGTGCACAGAGGAGCCACAGCAAGACCAATGTGCCCTGCTGCCTCAGCGATCCAGGCCTGCTGGGCAAGCAAAACGTTAGAACTGGAGTGACCCTAACCCTCGGGCCGCGCTGGGGGCTAAGATACAGAGCACTTTTCTTCCCAGCAGTGGGCCCACGAACAACTCCATCGTATAATTTTTTCATTTAATTTTATGTGTAAGGGTATTTAGGCTGCATGTATGTCTTCACATCAGATGGTTTTGGGAATCACACTCAGGTCCTCTGGAAGAACTGGTGAGTCTGACTGGGACCTTTCTCATAAACAGAATGCTAGTTCTGTGCAGTGTGGATAACAACGACGGAACAAGAAACATCACTTCAAATAAACAAACATCACTCACCTTCGCAAGATGAGTCTTGGAAGCCATTTCGAACTGATGTGGCTGGTGGGGGTGGGGGCGGTGCCCCAGCACCAGGCCTGTCAGGAGGAAGAGGAGGCCTAGGCCCACTTCTGGGACTGTCTATTCCACTCCTGGATGGCAACTGAGGGGTGGCAGGCAGGGCCCGAGGTGTGCTTCCATTTCTGTTTACTGGAGGTGGTGGTGGGAGGGGGCCTGGAGCAAGAGACATCTGGTGAAGCATTTTATTAACTCCACATCGCCCCCGAGTGGTCACCATCACTGGGCAAGGCAGAGTGCCTGCTGGATACACGCCCTTGAACTAGGGAAAAGGAGACATGGAGGAGCCCTTCTGGACACAGACAGAAACATGAAGGGGACATACACCCGTGTATGTAAAGTCAGTGCATATAATAGCAGCTAACTGAATGTCTGGCTTCAAGTAACCACTGAGGCCTGGGGACCAAACAGTGAAATTGGAAACAGATAATAATCTATATTGACAACCATGTCATTGAAAAGCATTTTATCCTTTTAAAGACTTACTGAACTAATTATTGTGATACCTAAAACGAATTGTTTAAAAGGAGTATGACAGTCATAAAGTTAGTCTAGGTTTTGAGAAAAATTAAATTTTTTAAATTAAAAAAATTATTTGTATGTATGTGTGTGGGCACATGCCATGGCACATATATGGAGTTCAGGGAGCAACTTCAGAAAGTTTATTTTTGCCTTTCACCTTCACCTGGATGCCAGGGGTCAAAGTCGGGTCAAAGCCTTGAGTCACAGATATTCTTACTGGCTGAGCCCATTACCGTGTGGCTCCAGTACTAAGTTTTTATGTGTACAGTATTACTGCAAATCACACAGGCATACTTTTGTGATGCACTGGATTCTGCATCGAGGCACTAGCGGCACTAGGAACCAAACACTGGTCACCTGGAGAACCACAGCCGTCACTTCTTGCTTATTCCTCTGTGTGTCTGAGTGTATGTGTGATGTATGTGTGTCTGTATATGTGGTGTGTGTGTGTGTTTGTGTATGTGTGGTGTGTGAATGTGGTGTGTGTGTGTGTCTGTGTATGTGTGGTGTGTGTATGTGGTGTGTGTGTGTGTGGTGTGTGTGTGTGTGGTGTGTGGTGTGTGTATGTGGTGTGTGTGTGTGTGTGGTGTGTGTGTGTGATGTGTGAGTGTGTGGTGTGTGTATGTGGTGTGTGTGTGGTATGTGTGTGGTGTGTGTCTGAGTGTGTCTGTGTGGTATATGTGTGTGTCTGTGTGGTGTGGTGTGTATATGTGGTATGTGTGTGTGTTGTGAGTGTGTGTGGTGTGTGTGTATATGTGTGGTTGTGGTATGTGTGTGTGGTGTCAGTGAGTGTGTGGTGTGTATGTGGTGTGAGTGTGTGAGTGTGAGTGTGTTGCATGGGTGGAGAAGCACAGGGAGCGAGAAACCGCTGATCTTACTCTCCCATTAAAGACAGTAGGTGGTGGCTCCTGTTCACAAGTGTGCTGTTGGCTTTGGAGTTTGGGTCCCTGTCTACCAAGAGTAAGGTAGTTGTCACCTCTGTCACAGTGCCTGGAGCAATAAATGAAAAAGCAAACTGAAAGTAAACCAGCACTCCAGAGGCAGAGAGAAGTAGATCTCTGTGAGTTTAAGGCTAGCTTGGTATACAGAACGAGTTCCAGGCTAGCCAGGGCTACATAGTGAGGGCCTGTCTCAAAAATATTTAGATATAAATAAAGCTGTAATATATATTACCAACACATTTGAAATCATTTTCTAAAACAACGTAATATGTGAGGTAGCAGTTTCCTCCTGACCCTGGGCTCCTGCAGCTGGTCTCCTGCAGCTCCCTGAGCTGAGGCTACAGGCTTTTGGCTGGATATTTGTTCTACTGCTAGAAGCGCTCTTACCTCTGAACATGCCACCTCTCCAGCTTGCCTTAACTGGGTTTTAAAAAGATTTATCTTTAATGAGCAGAGGAGTGGACTCAAAGCCTAGCTTTGGGAGACAGAATTAATTCTGGCTATGATATAACTGCTTTGTCCTTGGCATTACACGGCAGGGGCACTCTCCTGGGGGAACTTACTTCCAACCAAGACAGCCCAGCTTCCCACCGGAAGCAGGGCCGGGTGGAAGATCAAAGTCCCTCCCTTTTCACTCTCAAAAGTTGACTTGGTCAGCCGGTCTGCTCTCCTCTTAGACACAAACTATCTGGCCCCTTTCTTGAGATGTCCACGCCTCCACCACGACATTATACCATTGGTATGGAGCAGTCTCCATGGTTTTACTTGGTTTTGTTTGAGACATTTAGGAGAGCAGAGTTTTAGGGATATGACATCCCCCGGTCTTGCATACCTGATCTGCCTGGCGGATCCCTCACAGGAGGAGGGGGCCTCTCGTTGGGTGGGGGAGGGAGAGGCCCCGAGCGTCCAGGTGAAGGCAAGGGAGGTGCAGAGGACGTGAGGGACAGGTTCCGCTGTGGCAGCCTGGGGATCTCGTCGCTGGAAGTCGGAGGCAGAGGAGGGGGCCCTGGCCGGCTGGGCGGTGGCGGAGGAGGTGGTGCCTGTGAACCCGACCCAGGCCGCGGGGTGGAAGGCACCGGAGGTTTGCTGTTCTGTGACGGGGGCGGGGGAACCGCTTCTCTGTGGATGGAGGGCCTGTTGCCCACGGGAGGAGGTGGTGGAGGGGGCTTGTCATCCAAGGCCCGGTTTGGAGTGGGGGGCAAAGGGGGCCTGGGGAACGGAGAGGAGGAGCTCGAGGGGTTCTGGCGCACAGAACCTGCTCCAAAAGCAGCACCTCGGTTTCCGGGAAAGGGGGGCCTAGGGCCTCCCAGCCCTGCTGGGGATCCCCGGTTGTGCAGACTCGACGGAATGGGTCTTGGCGTATTTGGTACCGGAGGGGGAAGGCTATCTGGTTTTGAGCCCACATCAGGCCTCGGGGGAGGCATTCTGTTCCTGGGAGGTTCTGGGGGCCCACTCCTGTGGCCTGGTGAGGGTGCAGGAAACCTCCCCGGGCCACTTGGGGGCGAAAAGGGCTTGGCAGATGTGGCTCTTCCTCCTGGTGGCAAAATCGGCGGTCGGCTTCCTCCAGAATCTAAAGAACAAGAAAACGGATACCGGGTCGAAAGGTGAGGAGCCCCAAATAACTCAGAGGACACGGGTGGGTGCTGGCCCTCTCCCACTGAGCACTGATTAACGGTAACTAGTAGCTTTATAAACCTAAATTATTTAATAATAATTAAATTTGTGTGTTGGCGTGGGTCTCCTGGAGACGGAGACATACAACTCTATTTGTCAGGTACAGGTTTTACGGCCAGGCTTTCAAAAGGATGTATTACTGCATCACCTGCGATAGTTCTGGAGAGGTCGCTGTTACTAGAGGACAACATGGAGGGCCTAGGTAGACTTCTGCTAATGGCTGTCATGGACTCCACTGCTGTCTATCCCCCCCACCCCCACCCCCGCGCCCTGTACTGCTCAGATTTGAAAAAAAAAATCAGTCAGCTATCTTAGGTGTGCGAATGGAGTTACTCCAAAGAAAGTCTCTCTCTATGTGTGAGGATCCTCTGGGGTTGGAGTTAAAGAGAACTCTCAGCTGCTATGAGGGTGCTGGGACTCAAGCCCAGGTCCTCTGAGAGAGCAGCTGCGTCGCTGCCTCTCCAGTCCACAAGGTCATTTTTTTTAAAGGTTACCATTGAAACATCTTCCACTTCAACTATGAATTAAGTAATGAACAAATATTTATTGTACACCCATTTTTCTAGATGTTAGAAACACCCGAATAAGCAAAACTTAAAAAAAAAAGTTCTCTCTTCTGTCTTTTCTGATCTTATAGGAGACAAATGATAAGCAAGTAAAGAGGTATTTTCTGATAGTTATTAGCACAAAAAGGGAGCTGACGAATCAAGAGTGCCCAGGGAAGCCATGCCTGGTGGGGTGGGGGAGACAGTGCCTCTGGGGAGAGGCCGTGTGAGCTGGAGCTTAACAAGAAGTAGCCAGCTTTGTGAAGCTGAGGAAGTGCACACTTCAGGTAGAGAGGGCCAGTGAGTGACATGGACCGAAGCTTCAGTCTCCAAACCAGAAGCCTGGGTGCCATAGCACAGGAAAACGGAATCCACAGGACAGGAAGTCTAAGTGACCAGGCCACTAAGAGCCTTGGAGTTAAAGTGTATGCGTCACACAAGAAGCACTTGGACAGGTTTATTTAGTGGAGTAACGTGAACCCGAGATCATTTTTAATGTTGACTTCAGCACTGTAAACATGTATTTTTTTTTTGAGTAGGTGGTATAATCCTGCACTGTTAGAGTATGCTATGTCTTCCAAATTTACGTGGAAGTTATAGTTACCATCCATCTTAAAATAGCACAGGTCCTGGCACTGACTTCAATTTCTTCTTCTTTTTTTTTTTTTTGTTTAGTTTTTACATCTTTGTTAAAAGTATCGAGTGCATGCATCTGGCAACTGCCTAACATTCTTTTGTGTGCTTAAGGGAAATAATTTTATATTTGAACACAAGACTGGCAAGATATAGGACCTATATTCAGCCACCTGAGGACCAGTGACTTCACCTTCGGATGGGAGGGAGACTTTCATCCCAATACATGAGATTACCTTCAAGCTGAGTGTAATGGGCCTACTTGAAACCTATGTGAGCTCTGTGTTTAGGCATGGGTCCCATCCACAGGGAATCTCATCATGATCGTGCAATATCCGAGACTGAAAATACAATCTTCAAAGATTTCAGAAGACTGGCTTCTAATACCAAATGTCTGCCGTGCAAAACACCTGTTGCTATTTAGTGACGTCTGGAGCTGCATCTTCTAGGACGTGGTCCACAGTGTGCTTAAAAAACGCCTTATGTGTGTTGCTATATACGGTTGTCTGATAAAGAAAGCTGCACCCCTAGGTTATTGAGTAGTCTGGTGGGGAGGAAGGTCCGTGTCCTCCCTTTTCTCTTTTCCATTCCCCATCCTTCCTGCTTCAGTTCACCCTTTAGAAAAAACATTGGTTACCCCTAGGATACAGTCCAAATGTTACATAGCTCTATAGGACTGCCTGGTCCTGACTGATAAACGGGAGAAGCCTGATCTAGCTCTCATACAACAGGCTGACGTCTTGAAACAGTGTAACTGTTGTAAAGGGCAGAATCTGAGTGTCAAATTGTCTCTTGTTTAGAACATCAGAGGAAGAGTTCTGTTTACCATTATCCCTGTTGGCAGTGGACCTCAGCTTCGGCATTCCAGCCTGGAATAGTCCTCCCAATCCTGGAGGACCACCTCCTCCAAAATTTCCACCGCCACCGCTGCCTCCTCCTCCTCCACCACCTCCGCTGCCTCCACCATAGCCACCACCACCACTGGCACCAGCTCCCTTCGGTTCTGCAGATGGAAGGAAAGACGCTTGAGAAAACACAGGAGTATTTACCAGTCCTAACTTCAGGAAGCTGTCACAGAGCAATTAGACAGAATGGGCTGACCCTGAGCATTTAAAATGAAAGGGACATTTTCCTCTTACATTTTGTACTTATTACTGGCACCAAGAAATTTCATTTGATTTAGCCACTTTGCTGTATATTTTCAGTTAAAATTACAAAAAAAAGGATGATCTTTCATTTTCTAATAGGCATGCAGTTTCAAATAATAAATGTTCCCTCTTTCTATAAACTGTACCCCTTCTTTCTGTTTTATATAAATAATTACTTTGATAGCTGAACCTCCTTAACAATGTGGATTATCAATGTTGCTATGGTAACAGTGTTCTGATTTAAATGAGACCACTTCTGTTCTGAAGCTATATATTAACTATTAGGTTACCATAGTTTTTTTTTTTTTTAATATTTACTGTAAAATGAGGAGTCTTCTATTTTAGGTTTAAAGACTTATAATATGGAATCTTATCAAATACCTACTTAGCATTTACTTAGTTGATTATATAATTTTTATTATTTGATATTTAGAATAGATTTTAAATTTAGTACTAAAAATAGGATTTTTTTGGTCTTGGTCAATTACTCAATTCATAAATGGTATATATCATTTTCTTTTCTTTCTTTTTTTAAAGATTTATTTATTTATTTTATTTATATGAGTACACTGTAGCTGTCTTCAGACACACCAGAAGAGAGCATTGGATCCCATTACAGATGGTTGTGAGCCACCATGTGGGTGCTGGGAATTGAACTCAGGATCTCTGGAAGAGCAGACAGTGCTCTCAACTGCTGAGCCATCTCTCCAGCCCATATGTCATCTTCTTATTTCTGGAACTCCTTGATGACAGTTTGTTTGGGTGGCTGTCCTGCCCTTGGCAGAATGTTTATGGTGTCTCTGACCCTGCCCACGAGAGGCTCCCCATCTCTACACAGGTAGAAATGGCTAAGTGTAATCCAGGCTTAGCAGGTAGGGCACTTGCCTAACATGCTCTTGGCTATGGCTTCCATCCCCACAACAAAACAAAAACAAGAACAAAGAAACAAAACGCTCAAAGGAACATCTGGAGACATCGCCACAGGTCCTCTGGGAAGCAGGATTACCCCAGCTGGAAGCTCTGGCCTGGAGACCCCTTGTATGAACACTGCTTGGGCTACACATTCTAGGGTTAGGACAGTGGCAGTTTCATGACACCAAAAACCTTTCTGTGGCTTTCAGAATGGGAAAGATTCATACAGCATTTGAATTAGCGGTCTATTGAAAGCTGAAACACAGAACTTACCAATAAAAACCCTTTTAATGAACAGTTTTTCAGAGAGAAACTAATCTTAGAAAGTTTCTGGGTTTTTTTTTTTTTTTGGTTGTTGTTTATGCAGGCTTTGAGTAAAGTTTGATAAATTAATGATTTCCTAGGAAATTAACTTCAAGATTTTCAAATGAGCCAAGATCATGAGGCACACCTGTAATCTTATCACTCACAGAAAGAACCCTCTGAAGCCACCTCAGCATGGGGCTGCATTATTCTATCCCCAACTGTAGAAAATCCTTCTCGAATCTCTTTATCGACTTTGGGAGATTTCATTTTATTCATTAATGTGTTTTTCTAACTTAGCCATCAATTCTCCATCTTTCTTATGTGTATAGCTCTCTGCTGAAGACATAACTTGGTGATGAATTGGCAAGGACTGTTTTACCTAACAGGCTAAACCCAATTATAGCAACAATTTCAAGAGTGTTTGTGAAATTGCTTTAGTATGAAGTTTAAAATTTTACTAACTTTTAACTTCTACTAACACAACACTGTCCTCATCATTCAAGTATTAGTCATGGCTGAATAAGACAGAACACCACACACACACACACACACACACACACACACACACGACACATTTATGTTGTGTTGTAAATTGAGAGTGTGATGTACTATCAGCACATCCACCAGCATTGACTACCTGGAACTCCACCCATCCTTCATACAGGGAAGTGCTATATGGTTTAAATGTAGCCCTCAAGGCTCATATGAGGGAAACTGGTCCTCAGTGTGTCCATGAGAGAGGGCATGTAATCTTTAGGAAACAGGAACTGGTGGGAAATAATGAGGTCATTGAAGGGGTTGGCTACTACCCTCAGAAGGAGCTACTACAGTTTCACAGGACTCTAGTCAGTTCTGAAAAGAGTTATCATAAAACAGCAAGACTGGCTGCACCCCAATTGGGTTTTCTGTCTTGCTTTGTGGTCTGCCTTATACCTTTACTTCTGCCATTGTTTTGACACCATCCCTATGAGGTCCTTCCTCACCAGAGCCAGGCCAATGCCAATGGCATACTCTCAAACCTCTAAACTATAAGTTAAATAAATTTCTTTTCTTCATAAAGTACTTGGTATCAGGTGTTTTCTTATAGTAATAGAAAATGGAATAATTAAAAAAAACCTGAAACTGAGGCTAGCTGGCTGGCTTTAGGTCATTTAGGTCATAACCACTAGGACAGGGTTAAATTACAAAGCTATCGTGCATAATCACTTTGATATAACACCCAGGGAGGTTTTGCCTGGCAACGAATACAAAACAGGATGAATTCTGTTATTTGCAAAGAGCCTGGACAGCAGTATAGGTATCCAACTAAGTGCAGGGACAACCAAGCATACAGTGGATTATAACTCGCTTCTGTCAGATGCTCACTCCTCAGTATCACTGAGCTGCTGGAGAGGAAAGGCTAGCATTATGTCCACACAATGGAAGACGGACCTTGAAGAATATGAGGAGTTTCCACTAGGGAGTCAGGAAGCCTAGACTGTCCAGTTTCCTTCAGAGTTGGCAAAGAACTCACACTCCCCCAGGGGTCCAGATTCTTATAGCAGAGAGAGCAGGCATCCTTGGCCTGAGACTTGGTAGCTTCTCTAGCCAATAGCAGAGACCACAATTCAGATGGTTGTTGGACCAAAGCTTCCCAGACAGAACCCAGACAGAACTACTATGTGGTGTTCTGATCTAGAGATCAGATTGTTTGTCACGTACTGAAAACCTACAGTTCCTCTCTGAGTGCTGTGCATTCTCATATGCACCCAATGACAGAACCCTGGTCAAAGCCTTGGTTCTTCATTTCTCTTCCAACTCTGACTCCCCCCACTCTGTCACGTCTTCCCTTTCTACCTGTTAGCCCCTTTCCCCCATGATCCCCTACCTACCTCTACTCCTCCTAAACCCTGCATATTTATTCACCTGTCTGCAAAGCTGCATTTGGTGGCTGTCATGTCAGTCCATTCCCTGAGTCTAAATGAGAGCTGAGGGTATGATAAATCCTGGTGAGACTGAAAGGACGGTGTCAAGACCTGGATCAAGTCAGGGACAGTTTTGCCAACGAGGAAGCTTACACTGTGCTTACTTGCTTGTTTATATAGACCCTGTGTCATTGCAGAAAGCTTCTCAGACTCAGATGTACAGATAAGCAAACTTGTGATCTCATTTCCTGTCTCCAAGCTCCTGGGAATCACATCTTTCTCTAGAATTCCTCTTAGCAGACAAGAGAACATTGTACACGCATTATCTCATTGGAAGCCCACACCAGACTGGTGTGGCCACTAAAGTGGTACCCATCTCCACTTTACAAATGAGGACATTGAGGCTTGAAGTTGTGGCCTGATGGTTGTGTCCCAGGCCCGGACTCCTGATTCCAAGGCGAGGACACTTCCCATGTTTCATGTTGCCTCATGGTCTCTGGTGCCAGGAGCAATGGGTTAATCTCCAGAAAGTGCTGTGAATAATTCAGAGAATCGCTGCTGTGTGTTTCTTGGACAAAGAATTATTATGCTGGCTTCCTGCGGCATTAGAGGGGGCTCAACTAAAGCTGTGGCTACAATGACTAACTCAGTTCTGCCTTCTGCTAGCTTTGCAGCTGCTGAGAGGGGGGGAGGGGAGGGGAGGGGAGGGCAGGGGAGCGGAGAGGAGAGAAGAGATCTGGTTGGAGGCATAGATTGACTATTAAGCTATAAACCATTAGAACTATGGAAAAGAGTTTTTTACTTACTGTCCAATATTGGGGCACTTCTGTCATTGGTGACTGTCTTCTTAAGCTTCTTCCCTTTGCTGATGTCAGAGAGAAGGGCATTCCTCCCAGCCTGTTCTGTCTTATTCAAGGTGGGTTTCTCGGTGTTGGCCTGAAAGGCAATCACATGAACTCATCTCCTGCTCTTGGGGATAAAACCATGACTGGAGCACTCAGTCAGACAGGCGGCTTGGTTTTAAGATTCTAGACTATAAACTCTCTGGGGATTTTTGTGTCATTCTCTTTAAGACCCAGATTCCTGGGAGCAGTTATAGCAACAAAACCCCAAAATATTAAATCTGTGATAAAATCTGAATTTTCAGACCATAATCTGCCCATAAAAAGCCCGGGTATGCTGGTCCTTTCTTGTGACACTAAGTCTGAGGGACTCTGCAGCTGCTATTGGCCCTTGTCTGAGCTGTGTCCTGAAGAGCACACAGCCTCGCCCATCACTGAGCACTCACCTGCTGCAAGAAAATGCTGGACTCTGTCAAACCAGAGTGGGCTTTTCAACTCACTAAACCTTTAGGAAACAATTTCCTCCAAATACATGGACAAAAGTGCGTTTCTCTTTTAATTTGTCAGATTTATTATGGCATAATTTACATATACTGAATCCTGTCAGCTCACACTATTAGTTTTGACAAACATATAGTCAAAATAGGGAATAGAATATTTTTCCTTACCCCTCAATTCCCTTACGTTCATTTGACCATACCATATTTCTGATATTTAATTCCTTTGAAAGCTTAGCCCAGAGTAAACACACAGCTATTTGAAGATGTTTGGGCTTTTTTAAAAAAAATAATCCTAAAGTTCCTGACTGTAAAACTGAGGTCCTGATCTTTCTGGGTTATTTTAGGAATGTGGACACTCAAATCTAACACACAGGCTTGAATGTAAGCCCCTCTCCTGTGTGGATCCCGTCCAGAGTGATTGTGGCTGCCTTGAAGCCCAAGGTCCTTCTGGCTGGCATGAGAGTCTCCTGGGCTGGCCCAGCCCTTCGGAAAGGGGCAAGACCCCAGGTAAGCCAGTTTGGGTCGTGAGAAGGTAAGAAGCACATGGTTTGATGCCTCCCTCAACCTTTTATTGCCAGAGGGAGAGGCAGAAGGGCAGCTCAGCTGCACTGAGAGATCCTTCGGCTGTGATGGTAAGAGTTAAGCCCTGTCTGCCATGTTGGACTCCATTTTAATTTAGTTTTTATCGACCCTGTGTGTTACTTCGCTTTACAGACACACACACGCAAACCCAAAACAAAAACACTAATGAAAACCTGTAGTATAGTAAGTTACATCATTTGGTCCAGTTGTAGCGGCGTCAAGGTTGGGAGGAGGAGCTGAGGTTTGAACACTGGCCATCTGATGCCAGGACCATCCCCTCTCTGAGAGAAAGGTGAATGTGGGCTCCCAAATGTCCCTTCCCCCTCAGCCCTCAACAGCCCCTAGGAGCAGCCAGTAAGGAGCTTCCCCGATCTTCTTCCATACACTGACTTCACATGGCTAATGTGGTTTTGCTAGTGATTACTATACCTAAAACACAGTGGACAGACCCTTAAAAGCCACCTGGTCCTTTCACTTTTAGGGTGAAGAGCAACTAGAGATTAACACACTGGACATCTTCAATTTGAGTCAACAGCCTTCCACAGTGACTTCCCCCTTGGCTTGAGGATTTATTTTGTCACCTGACTTCCTTATGCCAACCTCTCTCAAGTGGTAAACCAGGACCCTTAACTGTATTGCTCAACTAGGTCAGTATGGCCTGGTGGCCACCAACCCATCTCCCCCTTTCTCCTGGCCTTGCTTTGAGTTCTGTATTTATATCCCTGGCTGGCCTCAAATCTCCTGCCTCAACCTCCAGAATTCAGATTACAGGTCAAGCACCACATCTGCCTTTAAATTTTAATCTTTTAGGTTCAACATTCATGGTTTGTAAAATCTTCTCGGTGCTAACTGTGTTATGGTTTAATATTTTCATTAAATTCATTTACTATATTATTTTCTGTGCTCTCTTTTAATGAACAGTCTTTTAAAAATTATATCACTGGCTTTTAAATCAGCCACTGGCTTTGATATGCCAATCATAAATTTTTAGAACACATATTAAAATAAGCATACCACCATTAAAATTCTAAAATGCAACCCATGTGCCAATTAGTAGTGATAGGCAACTCACATTTTTGGGAAAAATACAGATAAACTACTCTTGCCACATCAGCCGGCTAAGCGTGTTTTTAAATTCATCCATGCAAGGGCTGCTTAAAAATTTCATAGACTGACATTCTTATAAAATGAAAAATAAATATTATAAAAAATGAATTGGTTAAGGAGATACACAAAATCCTATCTGAGAATAACCCTAACTCTCATCAATATTTCAAATGCTTAAACACAATTTCTGTCCTTATGCTCTTATGGATTCTCACAGGAAGCTGGGGATGAACTGTTAGCAGCCCAGAGTCTCAGAAGACTTATATAAAAGGGTGCCATGGGAACCTGGAGCAGGAGACTTTTCCTTCCCCAGCCTCAGTTTCCCAGTACAAGAAATGAAGGGATCAATCATCAGTGCACAGCTCCCAAGCAGCCAAGGCTCAGGGGGTAGGTGGGGCTTTGGGATGAAGTGAGTCTTGGAGCCTTCCTGAAAGTGGATGTACTAAAATTCCCCTACAGACTCATCAAAGGACCAGGAGGAATCCAGTGATGAAACCCTTTGCAAAGTAATCATCTAGACACAAAGACAGGATTAGTGGGGTGTGAAGGTGTGTGAGGAGGAGGTGGGAGTAGCATTTGTTGAGAACAGAGTGTAAAGAAAGTGGAGAAGAAAGAGGCGAGGCTGGAAGACGTTAGAGGCATTGCAGAGAGCCCTCACTTAAGTTCGTTTGAACGGGGAGACAGTGCATCCTGCTTCAGCGCTTCCAAACTGTCCCACAGAGCCTTATTTTAAACCATCACATTTGTCTTGATAGACCTGGTAGAGGAAGACGAATAATCTACACTCCATGTCCATAAGCCTGTATCCCAGGAGAACCTGACCAAATATATTCTTTATATTATCTGGATTCGAGAGGTCTCAACTAAGTTCTAACCTCAGAAAAGATTGGGTCCTGGCAAAGCAGACCTGTATGGGAATGCTGATACCCTTACGACACAGCTACGTGCCAGCATTTGACTTTGGTTGGTTGTCTTCATGCACAGAGTGAAGAGAGAAATCCACTACGTGCATGCTCAGAAATAATTCCAGCCCTTGGGAAGTGAAGGCAGAAGTTGTAGATCAGCTTGGACTATGCAGCAAGACTTCCTAAAAAGCTGCCTTTAAAAAAAGAAAAGAAAGGAAAAGAAGGAAGGAAGGAAGGAAGGAAGGAAGGAAGGAAGGAAGGAAGGAAAGAAAGGAAGGAAGGAAGGAAGGAAGGAAGGAAGGAAGGAAGGAAGGAAGGAAGGAGAGAAGGAAGGAAGGAAGGGAGGGAGGGAGGGAGGGAGGGAGGAAGGAAGGAAGGAAGGAAGGAAGGAAGAAAGAAAGAAAGAAAGAAAGAAAGAAAGAAAGAAAGAAAGAAAG